AAGTAACATTATCCACAAAGTCATAGGTCTAATATGCTAGTTACACTTTCATTAATACACGTTAATGAAAATATAGGATAAAAAGTATTCATCAGGCAAAAATCATCTCATGTACCATCAATAGTATAAAAAATACCCCTTTGTACACTTGTTTCAGCAGCACACACATTAACAATGTAACCAAAGGCACACTTTGGGGAACAGTGATTTAGTACCAAATCCTTCATTGCAGCTAAGGAAACAGGCTCAAAGAAGGGGTGTAACTTGCCCAAGGACACACAGAACTAGTGGCAGACTCTAGACTAGAACTTAGTCCAACGGTGGTCAACTAAAGTAGAATGTACAGAAGGGTAAGATACAGGGACAATTAGTCCTTGGGGACTTCCCCAAGAAATGAACTTCAAGCAGTTGCTAAGCCCTTTGACAGCAGATCCAGGTTTTTCATTTTCTCTGAGAAGCCACACACATAACATGGTATTTGCTGGTGGACTCTCAGAGTGTCTGGATGGGATGGAATAAATCTGTTGCTTCCTTCCTGAACCCTCATGTGGTTCTCCCAACCTCACTGAAGACCAAGGCATGCTGCCAATGATAAAAATGTCTCTTGGATCAGTTTCCCACTTTTTGATCCAACAATATCCTAGCCACTGAGCTCCTGTCCCCATTGCTAGATTCATGCATGCTCTATATGGTTTCAGGAGGAAGATTTTCCATCTCTGGGTTTTAGGCTAGCTTTGGAAACAGGCTGGAAGTTTCCATTACAGAGTTACTCCAGTATTTCCCAGATACCCAGGCCAGGTTTTATTTTCAAGTGATAGATAACTTGTGTCTATTATGTGCCCAGCAATGTTTTATACACCGTCCCATACTTCCCATATAAGAGAAGGCAAAATGATATAGTTCCTGGCCTGTTGGGAGTGGCCAATCCATGTGAGTTTCACTGTACATGCAGGCAGTTAACAATAACTAACATTATTAAATGTTTATCTATATGCCAGGCATTGTACCATGTCCTGCAAATGTCTTATTGACTCCTCACAACAATTTATTGTGATTATTTTCACTTAATACATGAAGGAAACAAGGCTTAGAGATGCTAAGTGGCTCATCCAAGGTTAAGTGACAAGTAGATGGTAAAGTTCAGATGCAAACCCAGACTCTACGCAGATGCTCTTACCTGTGCACTATGTACACTTGAATCTTTAAATTCACAGTGAAAGGAAACATGATTTCTGTATACCTAATTTCCTAAAAGTGAGCTTATTTATTGCATTAGGGAATGCATATATTAAATTAAAAAATATATATAACACATTCCGAGAGTGCCATTTCATACTGATTGAGGGAAGAGTTTGCTCCTTGTAATCTGAAACTACACAATTTGCACTCTCTCGACCAAAAAAAAAGCCATCAAATTAAAACTAAATGCATATTGTTACTTCTCACCTAAATCAACTTTGGAATGTTAGTTGCTCAGTCATGCCGGACTCTTTGCGACCCCATGGACTGCAGCCCACCAGGCTCCTCTGTCCATGAGATTTTCCAGGCAATGATACTGGAGTGGGTCGCCATTTCCTTCTCCAGGGGACCTTCCCAACCCAGGTATGGAACCCGGGTCTCCTGCACTGCAGGCAGATTCTTTACTGACTGAGCTTATTCGTGGTAGCTCAGTGGTAAAGAATTTGTCTGCCAATGCAAGGAGATGAGATTCAATCTCTGGGTGAGGAAGATCCCCTCGAGGAGGAAGTAGCAACCCACTCCAATATTCTTGGCTGGAGAACTCCATGGAGAGAGGAGACTGGGTTATAGTTCATGGGATCACAGAGTTGCAAAGAGTTGGACAGGACTGAGCGATTGAGCACACTCGCAACCTTATTCCTACTTTTGGGATACAACTGGAGTACTAACGTGGTATAATAAAAAATATACTTGGTCTTTGTCCCCAGTTACTACCAGAGGTCCTAAAACCCCTGGAATTCCTTTACAGATAGACTTATTGTTATTCATTAAGGAGCAGGGTTTGGACCACACCTGAGTTCCTCTTTGATAGTTTGAAAAGAAGCTACCTTTGTTAGAAAGCCCAGGCATATGACTGGAACTTTCAGTCCCACCTTTAGCCCTTAAGGAAGGGAAGGGTGGCTGAAGTTTCATCAACAAAGGTCAATGCTTTAATAAATTATGCCTACATAAAGGAACCACAACTGAAAGCCAAACAAGGCTAGGGGAGCTTCTAGTCTAGTCTAGTCAAAGCCATGGTTTTTCCAGTGGTCATGTATGGATGTGAGAGTCGGACCATGAAGAAAGCCGAGCGCCAAAGAACTGATGCCTTTGAACTGTGGTGTTGGAGAAGACTCTTGAGAGTCCGTTGGACTGCAAGGAGATCCAACCAGTCCATCCTAAAGAAGATCAGTCCTGAATATTCACTGGAAGGATGGATGCTGAAGCTGAAGGTCCAATACTTTGGCCACCTGATGCGAAGGTCTAAATTACTGGAAAAGACCCCGATGCTGTGAAAGACTGAAGGCAGGAGGAGATGGGGATGACAGAGGATGAGACAGTTGGACGGCATCACCAACTCGATAGACATGAGTTTGAGCAAGCTCCAGGAGTTGTTGATGGACATGGAAGCCTAGTGTGCTGCAGTCCACGGTGCTGCAAAGAGTAGGACATGACTGAGTGACTGAACTGAACTGAGGGGAGCTTATGGCTTCCCAGGTGGCACTAGTGGTAAAGAACCTGCTTGCCAACACAGGCAGACGTAAGGGATGCAGGTTTGATCCCTGGGTTGGGAAGATTCCCTGGAGAAGGGCATGGCAACCCACTTCTAGGCAACCCACCCAGTATTCTTGCCTAGAGAATCCCATGGACAGAGGACCCTGAGAGGCTAGTCCATAGGGTTGCAAAGAGTCAGACATGACTGAAGCAACTTAGCATGCAGGGGAGCTTCAGGGTTGGTGAATACACTGATGTGCTGGGAGGCTGGCATGCCCAGAGGGGACATGGAAGCTCTGTGCCCATAATTCAAATCTTGCCCTATTCAGGTCTTCCATTTGGCTGTTTCTGAGTTGTAGCCTTTATAATGAAATGGAATTCATACCATGCTTTACCAGCTAAATGAGTTATATGTACTAGCAAATTATCCATCATGGGGGAGGGTGCTCATGGGAACCCCTAAATTTGAGGTCTGCCAAGAAAAAGTGCAAGGAGGAATTTGAGACAACCTGATACTTGCGGCTAGCACTTGAAGTGGGGCAGTCTCCTGAGACTGAGTCATTAACCTGTGGGATTTGCACAAACTCCAGGCAGTTTGTGTCAGAAGTGAACTGCTGGATACTCAGTGATGTCAGAGAATTGTTGAAGGGACGGCATAATTAACCTCAGGAGAAGAGGTCCATGTTACAACCAACTGGAAGTGAAGTGAAGTGAAGTGAAGTCGCTCAGTCGTGTCCGACTCTTTGCGACCCCATGGACTGTAGCCTACCAGGCTTCTCCCATGGGATTTTTCAGGCAAGAGTACTGGAGTGGGTCGCCATTTCCTTCTCCAGAGGATCTTCCCCATCCAGGGATCGAACCCGGGTCTCCCGCATTGTAGGCAGACGCTGATACTTATTTAATTGACGCCACCTTCCTTGATCTCATCATTAAATCTGTAGCTGTCACCAATTCAGAGTAGTACTTGCCATTTTCAGCACTAGAAGAAAATCTGGCCTTATGTCAGATTCACAAGTACCTGGTAGAATAAAATTTCTTTTAAAAAACTAACAATTTAATTTGACCTGCTTAAGAGACCATGTGATGTTACAGAAATATGAAGTCAAAATATATTTTCTTTAATTATTTTAGTTGTGGTTTAACTCACATTTAGTCCCCGTGAGAAAATCATGAATTACCTCAATAGTTTACATGTAACTGTTCCCTTTGGGTAACAGACATTGTTAAATGACAATCACCACCACACAGTATTATATACTTAACTCAAACTCTAATGGACCCAGGAACAATACATTCCCTCTTGTTTGCCAACTTATTTGTCAAAAACAAAAGTCAAAAGAGAGATCTCAAAGAAGTTAGGCTTAAGCAGTCAATCATGACCAACTAGTGAATCTTGAAGATCAATCTGGTCAAACCAGACACTGCATCAATGCACTCATCCCTTCCCATCAGGAATATACTTTTCAATCAGGGGAGAGAATACTGTCATCAGAGACCTGGTCAGGGGCACTGGATTACCCAACTCCAAAGGTCCCCTCCTTGTAAATGGTGTTGTCTAGCACTGGGCAACAGTGTGGGCCTGTTCCTTCCTGAGCCACTCTTCTCCTATCAAGCGCCATTGTTAGCAATTTCCACCTTTTCCCAGCTGAACAACCAATGGAATTTTTCTTCACCCTATGCATATGGCCCACAATATCACCACTGCCAACACTCTGCACTCCCAAAGGCCTGCTTCCTGAAATGTTCTCCTCCCGAGCAACTGAACCCACATATCTAAATGCCTCTGGAAAGGTCTTTAGACTTTTCTCTTTCATATAATGTTAGTAAACCCCCAAGCAAAATTCTCCTACCATTGACATCAGCTATAACCAACTGTTTTGAGTAAATGACTGGACAAGTGACTAGTTATTTCAAAGAAAAACTAATTTACTTGGAGAAAAAGAATCACAGAAACATCCTTTAAAATGAACACATCACTCCTTACTTTTGAACTGTACTCACTTAGAATAAAGAAAACGTCACCACTCTGAGAACCTGGAACTTCTAGCATGTCTATAATCCTGCCACCCAGAACATATGCTACTAGAGTCCCAGCACCCTCACTGGAGTGGTATTCCTTGTCTTCCCTGCCTGTTTAAAGGCAGCCACTAGGTAGTCATCAAGTAGATATAAAGTAAATGTTTAATTGGAAACAAATTTGTTTCACAGTTTTTTTTTTTTTTTAAGAATAAAGCAATTGTAGATATTTTCACAGAGCCATTCTAAAAATGTTTTGTCCATGGATATACCTGGGTTTTCCTGTTCATATTCCAAGGCAAGTCACTGGAAATGGGAATATGCAGGTCAGCATTTTGCATAGGCATTCTGGACAGCATATAGAAGAGACCAAACACCAAGGATTCAATTAAACTCAAACAAACTCTACTCAGTGCCTATAAGGGTATATTTAAGGCAGTGTAAATAAGAAAACAAAATCAGTGCAGAGAAGTCCTATACCTGACAGTACCTTCTCTATAACTTTAAGTGAGTTTACTTACAGAGTTTACTATATAGAGTTTATATAGAGCAAGTTTACTTTATAGAGTTCCATTTACCTTCTGCTTTTTTATCTGTTTTCAGCCTCAAAACATTTTGATCAACTGAAATCTTATGGGGAAACTCAATATAACAGCAACTATAGCAAAGTCAAACATGGGTGTGGTGGTGGGGAGCAGCAGCAGTGAAATGGAAGCTAGACAGCAAGATGAGGGGGTTTTCCTTGTCTATCATGGATATACTCCAGAAATGACCCGAGAGGGCTCTACATAGCCCAGTTTGAAAAATTATCATGCCAGATATTCTAAGATTCTTGGAGGGTCTTCTTCCTGCCTTATTCTTAGCTGGACAAAGAATTAAATGCATTCAATATAGTAAATGCTATAATTTGAGTCTTGTTCAGAATCAAAGTTATAGGTCACACACCAACCCACTTTTAGGCAAATGCTGCAGAATCCAAATACTTCATCAACCAGAAAGAGCTAAATGCTATAACCAAACTCTGTGATCTTGATATGGTGGAAGTGATCTACTTTTAAAATAATGAAAGCAAGTTTTTCCAAAACACTGTATCCTAGACTGACCAGCAGAGATTAAGGCAAAAATGAGAAGTCCTACACTATGCAGTGATGCTACCCAAGATCCTTGGTCAGTCATCATATCTGGTCTGGCTCTTCAGGCCATGGTGACAAAATCATTTTCAGTCCCCAGGTCCTGAGACTGAATCCTCCAGCAGAGCAGGGAGAACAGGAAACAGGATTATCCATCGCAGCAGTATGCAACCTAAGCTTCCATGATGCAATCCAGCCCAAAACCCAACAACACACCTCAGTCAAAGGACACTGCTAAGCAAGGACAGGCCCTCAGGAAGTCAGTAGTTATCAACATGAAGCCTACTTTTTTCATATAATCAGGTTGGTATCAGGGCACTCACTGACCATGATTTATTTTGGTACAAGGGCTATTCACCACCTCAAGATCCCTTTACTGAGCTTCCCTATTCTGATGTATGGTATTTAAGTAGTTTCATCTGCACACAACTTAAAGAAGAGGATTTGGCATTTCTCCCCTCCCATTTTCTCCTTTCTACATATCACAACTTCAAAAGATTAGTTTGAGCCACTTCAGATAATTAAAATGCTAAGTTCTTACTTGTAATCATTCACTAATTGAACAAGTCAGGTGCTATAGTAATCTCCTTTTTCCCCCAAAATAAGTAGGTTCCTCCATCACCAAGAAAAACAGATATAAGAACTGGTAAAACTAGATTTGAATTGAAAGACACTAACTCAATGAAACACTCTGGTCCATTGTGCAGAGAGCTTCAGAACACTGTTCCAACATTTAGGGAGAATTGATCCTGGTTCACTGGTATCAACATCTGTAAATAGACACAAAGAGGTAACTGTAAGTAATCAAGAGCTGGGGAATAGGAGTCACCACATAATTACCATTGTTTCATTCAGAGTTACCACATCTTTACCTTAAAACAACTGGCAGCCAGTGTACAATTAACTCTTCTTACTGCAGCACAAAATAGTAGCAAAATCAGATTAATTGTAAGTCATCTAATGCAATGCAAACCCACAACTCCAAAAATTAGTGGTATCAACTCTTCTTTCAGAAGAGTTTGTCCAAAAGCCCCAGGAGTTTAACAAACCCACTGGTACTCTAGATTAAAAGGCCAGTTCATTAAAAGGCCAGTTCAGCTCTGAGAATCTAAATTCATTTAGGTTTGTAGATTCTTTCCCCAAACACAATTAGTGGCCAATGCAGGAGTCAATGGCTTCTCCCTGTATTCAAGTTCCCCTCCTACCCATCCGACCCATTTCACAAACTAGAAAAGAACCACCACTCTCCAAACTGACTGATGAAATTTCAGCCTACAGGGTATTTTCATACTTGAGTTATAACTGAAGATGAATAGTGGACATCTTAATAATCCATTAGCTAGATTAAAATCCAACATTAGGATACAATCTAGACCAAAGACACATGTGTGCATGTGTGTGTGTGTGCACATGTGCACTGTCGCTTCAGTCCTGTCCAACTCTGCAAAGTGATGGACTGCAGCCACCAGGGTCCTCTGTCCATGGGATTCTCCAGGCAAGAATACTGGAGTGGGTTGTTATGCCCTCCTCCAAGGGGATCCAGGGGAGGGATCTGATCCAGGGATCGAACCCGAGACTCTTGCATCTTCTGCGCTGGCAGGCAGGTTGTTCACCACTAGAGCCCCTTGGGAAGCCCGTATGTGTGTGTGTGTAAGTGAAAGTGTTACTCACTCAGTCATGTCTGATTCTTTACAATCCCATGGACGTAGCCCATCAGGCTCCTCTATTCATGGAATTCTCCAGGCAAGAATACTGGAGTGGGTAGCCATTCCCTCCTCCAGGGGATCTTCTTGATGCAGGAATTGAATCCAGGTCTCCTGCATTGCAGGCAGATTCTTTACCATCTGCACTACCAGGGAAGCCCTCATATATAATCAATTCTCAGTTCTTTGAGTTACTCTGCAGTATAAAGGGTAGAGTCTATTGTTTGCCTAATTCTAGCTGTTCACTTGCTTGCTAACCAAAGACTTCCTATTTACATTCAAGATGGGATTCAGTAAGATAGTTCAAGCTCAACTCCAACCCCTTCATTACCCCAGGACTGCCCAGGACTATTCAAGTTACTTTTGATAATCCATCTACCCATGCTAGAACTTAAAACAGGTGACAAGTCCAAAATTTCTGATTCATTTTTTGCAAACACGAAAAAGTTTTACTTAGCATTTCTGATACTAACTTTACTACAAACAGCCCAAGCAACGTTTAAGTCTCTCAACTGCCTAGCTCAAAGAGCCAATTCACTCAAAGAACACACTAGTCACTGTTGTGGTGTTCAAAGGAAGAAAACAGCATATTCTAACTGTTTCAGCCCACTGAAACATTTGACTCAACAGGGCCAAATCAAGGAGGAGTCCTGATTGGGCCTCTCCAGTGGACAATCTGGTCAAGGTGAGGCTGAGAAGCAACTGGCTACTAGAGATGAACGGCCCCAACAGAAGGCAAAAGTAGGTTACATCACTTGGCTACATGCCAGCCCAAAGATGCCGACAGAGTGGGATTATGCCCACAATGGTCATTTATCTAATGTAATCCAGAGTGAACTTTTAGCACCGACCTACGCACACACCTCAGCTGAAAGTTATTAGTCATCAGGCAGACCAGACAAAAGTGGAAATAGTGCAACATAAAATCTGCCTTCCTACAAAAAACAACTTCAAACTTAGATTGTAATGGTCATCTTGTAGACCAACAGGGGTATATTATTATCATTTGCCCAATCTTCAGCCCTAAATTCACAGCTAGAAGCAAAAGAGGATTCATATACTAGAACACATTTGGGGTACCCAATATGCAATTTTAAAAAGCATATAAGACAAAATCCTGTAAGGAAAAAGGCAACCTTCAATTGAACATCCCATTGAATTCTTAACTCATGCCTTGAGATTCATCTGCCAGAAAAGACCCAGATGACCACTGCCGCCTCCTCTCCCACTCTCAGCAGGGTGACCTTTTTTCCCTACAATACTCTAAGTAAAGTGAAAGTTGCTCAGTCGTATCCGACTATACAGTCCATGGAATTCTCCAGGCCAGAATACTGGAGTGGGTAGCTGTTCCCTTCTCCAGACAATACTGTAAGAGTATCCTTAAAACAGTATGTGGCAAGACTCTAGGAAAAGCAACAGAATTAAAAGGAACATCATTTTCTATATCCTTCTCACTCTTATTTTGCCTAACTATTCTGAGCCCAGCCTCCATCTCTCTGACCTAGACTCTCTTCACTCTTTTCTTTGATCACTAGGCTCTAGCTATTACAGCCTCTTCTACCCCTAATCCTCCCCTACCTCCTCTTCACCATCCCTTTCTTCCCACTTCTTGGAACTTGCCACACTCCAGCCCAGTTTTTGCACTAGCTAGTCCCTAAACCTGGAAGGTTCCTCCCGTATTTTTGCAAGGCTGGCTCCTTTTTATTTAAAGTTCAACTTCAGTGTTGCCTTCTCAGAAAGGTCTAGACTGTATCCCAATCAGACACATCCTATCACAACACTCACAATCACAGATAAGAGCTGATTTTCTTCAGCTCTTATCAAAACCCAATTTGCTTATTTATCTGTCCCCACCCCACTCCATGAGAGCATGGACCTTACTGCTATGTTCCTCTTTGTATGCCCACTGCCTAAAATACTGGCTAGCAACTAGTAGCCTGTCAATAAATGTTTGTTGAATGAATGAATTTTGGACTTTTTATTCAATGATTCCAAATCAGTTAAGGTGAGAACAGTAGTCATTTTTTCCTTTTGTTGCATTTCTGTGAAACATCCAAACATGCTGTTACTTGTACAATGAAAGCATTAAATATTGTTTTATCAGGCCTGAAAGCCCTGATGAGTAGGATGGAACCCATAACGATAATTCTAGCAATATGCACATAAACTCAGTTACAGAGGAAAAGGATTTACAGACACTTTCTAATCATCAAAGGATCCCTAAAATTTGGGAACCATCTCTTAAAGTTCTTTAGAAAACAGTTCCAAACTCAAGAGGATTTCCAAAGAAAATATCAACACCAAAGTAGGAATCATTACACTTCACTCTGAAATCCCTACTACAGGCTAAAGAAGCACTACATTTTTCTCCCCATTAAACCAACAAAACATCAACGAAGAGACCTTCTTTTCGAATCATTCTCTGCTAAATAATTTTTTCACAGCCGTTACTGGTTTGTATTCTTCCCTGAAAGAAAACTAAGCAAATCACGCTCATGTAAGACCACCTATACAAAAAGAATAAGCTAAATAAATAAGATGGAAATCTGCACAAGCCAAGTGTGTCACTGAAGACTTGTGTGCCAGACACACAAAAGAAAAAATAAGAGAGCTATTGTCCAATTGTAGAAACAAAAGAGTAACATGGGCTTTTCTGTTCTCCAAAGTGCATCATGAAGTGTGGGTGGAGAGAAACAAGAAATCTAGAATTAGCCTAACATCAAATCATTTTGGAAAGAGTTGACAACATTTAAATTCCTCACACATAAAGTATTTAGAGCAAGAGACCTTGATTCCTGGGCTATGATGCCATTTAGGAATCCTTGCAAGGGCTTTGGAATTCCAGTATTCAGAGGGTAAAACGCTCATTTTAATCGGGAGCGACCGGGGATTGAGAGGTACTCCCAAAGAGAGACAGCTTGTAACTGAAGTATTACAAAGCTTGCAGTTAAGACCTGGGATGGAGGCGGAACACCAAATCCAAAAGAGGTAACCAAGATACCAAGTACAATAAAGGAAAAAAAAAAACAAAACCCAGAGTTACCACCTAGTCACGGAGAATTAAAGTGGAAAGGAGGGCTATGCACGGGAGAATATGGGGGGGGGGGGGGGATGGAAAAAAAACCCCAATACATTTGTCACTCTGTCCCACTTCCTATACAGGATACGGGCAAAGCTTCCAGCCCCATCACCTCAGGCACAGATGGTTATCGTATATAGCAAAGGTGCATAGGAAGGACTTCAGGTCTGAGCCCCTTAATTCCAGGGCTGTTAATGATTAAAGAGGAAGATGGGGGTGGGGAGGTAGATGAGGGCGGAGGGAGCTGGAGATTCACCCACCACCTCTCGTTTGGGCTCCTACCTCACGGCGCTTACAAGGCGCAGAGGACCAGAGTCTGTACCCCCTCCAGGGCAGCTCCGGCCCCCAGAGCCCCAGGCCCTGGGTTGAGGGGTGCTGGCGGTGAGGAGGCAGGGACAGTAGGTAAGTTTTCTGAGCCCTGCGGCTGACACGCCACAGGCTCCCCTCACAGCCTCTCCTTCCAGCGGGACCAGTCCAGACAAGGAGCTGATTTCCACGCCTCCCCTTCCACCCCCCCTCCCTTTCTCGAAGGTACCCAACCCCCGCCCCTTCATCTCCCAAAGCCTCCCCTTCTCCTCAAACCCCCCCTCAAACTCACAGCTGCTCCAGAGGTTCCTCCAGTCAAACCCTTTCTGGAAACGACGGCGGCCCGGCGGGTCCAAAACACCTACCATCCCCGCTCGCGTTTCCAGGTTCCCTACCCCCTCCGCCGCCGCCGCCGCCGCCTCTTCTCCCACCACTGCCGCCGCCTCCCCTTCATCTGCCGCCCACCAGCGGCGGCCTCCCCGAAGCCCCGCCCCCTCCATCGCCTCCTGCATCATCACTTCCGGTAACCCCGCAGGCCGCCCGCTCCGGCAGGCGGAATAGGAAAGGAGAGAGGAGGGAACGAGTGGCAGTTAGCGTCACGACGTACGCAAAGGCGTACGAAGCTGTTGCCAAGTAAGGGCAAAGACTTAGCAACGCCGAGGGAGGGCTAGGAAGAGATGGAGTGGACCATTTTTCTCGCTGGAATGGGGTGGCGAGAGGAGAACGAAAGGGGTAAAAGGGAAATAAGGAAAGGATGAGCTTGGCTATCTTGTTGGGTATACGGCGGACCGTGATCTAGAGTTTGAAGTTTAACGAAGGGTCGAGCCTACCCTCGACTTGGGACTAATGCTCCCACAGAGGTCCGTCCGGTGGTTTGGTCCGGTCTGGCCTACCAGACCTGCTAGAGAGCTCTATCCGCCGCCGCTCAGCTGCGCTCCCGGCGCCGCCTCCTCCCAGCCTGCCGGAGGCTGCGGTGCTTCTGTGGGTGGGGGAAGGCTGGACTGACGCAGAGTGAGTGTTGAGGATGGAGACGCCGACTCCTGGCGCGGGAAACTGGGGGAAGGGGTGGACTCCTCAGGGGCAGGGATGGGGTGGGGGTGGGGGGTACGACGTTGCTAGGAGACGAGCCTGTGTGACCCCAGCCTCGCGAGGGCTGCTTCGTGTCACCGCCGCTCTCCTCAGGAACCTGCTGAGGGAAGCGGCTTGAGGGCCAGGAAGGGGAGGCCTGGTTTGGGAACGCTGAAATGCCGATTTGGGGCCCATCTCTGAATGCTTTGGATTCCCCCAATGTGTTGGTGGATGGGAGATTAATAGGGGCAAACCCGGAGGCGAGGCGTCTAGCCGAGGAAGGTTGACACAAACAAGTACCCTGCACGATACTGAGATTTTCTAAGATAATGAGAACTAGCTTCTTAAATCCTTTGGTCCACAAAAGACGTTGCTACGTGATTTTTTCGAGTCCGGGAGTAACTTAAAAAGTAGAGCAATAGGGTAGATATCAGCAAGAAATGTCCCAAAGGAAGTAATATCAGGTGAAGTGGTAGAAAATGAGGGGGAAATGAAAGTCGCTCAGTCGTGTCGACTCTTTCCGACCCCATGGAGTGGGTAGCCGTTCCCTTCGCCAGGGGCTCTTCCCAACCCAGGGATCGAAATCAGGTCTTCTGCATTGCAGGCAGATTCTTTACCAGCTGAGCCACAAGGGAAGCCCAGAAGATGAGGGGAGGGCCACTCTAAATCGGATAGGGCTGTTCAAAGGAGGCCGGGTTTGCAAAAGTCCCAGAAAAGAGGGAAGCGAGGGAATAAGTTTTCTAGGTGGAGAAAAGAACCAACGGGAAGGAAACGGCGAGGTCAGGTGCTTCGATCAGAAAGGGAAGAACAAGAGCCAGAGTGGTCTGTGATGGAGAAGTGGCGTGACCTGATCAAGCATAGCTTAGCCCAAGGTGAGAGCTTGACTGTTGGGTTACAGGAGGGTTTAAGGAGTGGCAGATCTCATTTACTGTTTTAGAAAATCATTCTTGGCTCCTGGATAGAGAAAGATACAAGTGGTCAGACCTGTTTGGCAGCTGTTGCAGTAGGCCTAGGGAGAGGTGACAGTGAAATGAAAGAATTAAATTCAGAATGTATTCTGAAACTAGAACTTGCAGAACTTGTTGCCAAATTGGATGTGAAGTGTATGTGAAAGGATGGAACCAAGGATGACTCCTCAGAGAAAATAGTTTGAAAGGCAGTCTCTTCTTTTAAACATACTAGTTTTGATAAGTTTGTTAACTGTCCAGGTATAGACGTTGAGAAGTTAAATATGAAAATCAAGGGAAAGCTCAAGAGAGATAATAAATGTAGCAGTTTATTCCTAAATCACCTAAGAAGAGAGTGCAGATAGAGAGGACATTCTCTGGGAAGCCCTATTTTTCTTTGTTAATCAAGGAATAAAAAGTAAATTTAAGAATGCAGGTGAAGTTTTGAAATTGGGCAATTTTGGCTTAGCTATTGTGCTGTTAAATATTTATGTATTAAAACATATTCTTGGTGGGGTGGGGAAGAGGAAGGCCACTAAAATCCTTGGGGCTCTTTGCATTGAGAGATGATCCAGAAAAGGAAAAGCCAGCAGAGGAGGCTGTACATATAAAGCCTCAAAGATAAAAGGAGGCCCTGTAATATTCTTGAATAATGGGACCCACCCTCATAATCATTGAGACTTAGTCTGGAAGTTCTGGCTCAAATCTCTTTTCTTTCCTCTGCCAGCTGTCAGTGCTTTTGGACTCCTGCTTAGGTGGTTTGTGTTCACTGTAACAGACTTGACTTTGCTTATGGTTTATGGGTCTGACTATCCTGTGAACTATTTCTTCTTTGTGCCCTGTTGGCCTCTAGTTCAGAGCTTTGCCCATCGAGCCCAGTGTATAGGAACTCTGTGTCCTTAATGTATAAACCATGAATTTCAACACCTTCTGACGAAGGAGCGTTTGTCCCTGATGTTGCTGCTGCCTCCATCACTAGATATGGTTGATTTCATAAAATGTAGAAAGAGTATCAAAAGAATAATCAGAAAGGGCTTTTCTGGCTGTCCAGCGTTTAAGACTCTGTGCTTCCACTGCAGGGATTGCTGGTTCGATCCCTGATTTGGGAACTAAAATCCCATATACCAAAAAAACAAGAGTCAGAGGCTTGGATTTCAATCTTAGGTCACTACTGACCAGCAGAATGGCCCTGTTCTTTGAGTTTAAGGGGTTACAGATTGACCTAGATTACAGATTACAAACTGCCTGAAAACATTAAAAAATTAAAAAATTCAATTTTCAGCTTCATTTGAAAAAGTAACAATCTGGCAATGCCAGCCTGAGTTTCCTGCACAGCAACAGTCAGCTGGAGCCAGTGAGATTCTTTTCCCTTCCTCTACCTGCCTGACCCCTATGGACATTTGATTTGCAGTTCTTGGTTTAGAGCTCTGCTGTCTGTCTGTAGGCACAAGCTACATGTACCTATTCCGATTTAGATGAAGTAAAATTAAAAATGCGATTCCTCAGATGTACTCACTGTATTTCAGACACCCAGTGCCAGTGGCCACCCTGTTGAACAGCAAAGATAGAAAATATTTCCAACATTGGAGAAAATTCTCTTGGTCAATGTTGGACTGGAGGAACTTAAAGATACTCAGGTCTAATCATTCTGCACACTAAAGATGGATAGTGTGGATATCCATGGATAGTAAAGTCATTGCTCCTACTCTGAAGGAAATGTGTCTAGTAAGGAGCTCCTTTGCCTCTGCAGATGGGAAGAGCAGTTCATTCAATAGTTGGTGGGTGCTTGGAAACTGTCATGAAGGCGGAGACCCCCTGTGCAGAGTAAGGGCTATATATCAGGTGGTTGGATCAGGGGTCAGGTGTATCTAAGGTTATAACCAGAGCCCTTTTGTCTGCTTCTCAATCCAATTCCTTAGGACATTATCACAAAGAAGGAGTTTGAATGTCTTAAATGTTTCATGTTCTCTGACTTACCTAGTTCCTTTGAAGGGTTCAAATCTTGGGTAGTTAGTTATGAATGAATGACTGGGGTTGATCTTTAGCATTGACCAAGTTCCCTGATGGCTCAGATGGTAAGGAACCTGCCTGAAATGCAAGAAACTTGGGTTCAGTCCCTGGGTCAGGGAGATCCCCTGGAGGAGGGAATGGCTACCCACTCTAGTATTCTTGCCTGGAGAATTCCATGGACAGAGGAGCCTGGCGGTTGCAAAGATTCAGACACAGCAGCAAATAACTCAATGCCTAGTGCCCTCACGTACAACACACTTCCACACACACCTCCTACTTCTGGTAACTTGTTCTCATTTCCCTGATTGACCTTGTCTTTGTCTCTTAAAATATGATGATAAGAAAGCAGTTACTTCCACTTCTTTTTAATTGAGAAACTGAAACTTGGTGTCCATTTAGAGTTTCTATCCCTGAGGGGGCAAATAGCTGAACATCTCAATGGTTACTATAGCCTGACTGGAGTTCCCCTTATAAGTATAATCTTGTGTGTGCTCCTGTGCATTCTATATTTAGAATGAATATATGTGCCTTATATGATCTTGTTTGGGATAGTTTAAAAACCTTCCAGACATAAATATTTTTAGTTTTTCCTTGTGTTCTAAAGATTTCCTGTGTTATAGAGCCTAATTTAATTTCTCTTCCTTTAGGTAAGATAAAAGTATATAATCCTTTCTCTTTCCCATGACCCTTAACTCTGACATACCATATTGTCAATTTCTTGTAAAAAGATGCTGTTTCAGAGAATAGCTGTAGTATGATTAAGTACACCACACAAGCATATCCTGAGATATGCAAAACAGTGTGTGGCATTACACTTCCCTTATTGGATACTAGTAACCAAAAACTGAATCCCAGTCAGGAAATAAGTCCATGGCGTATGTGTGGGGCAATGAGATGAGGCCCATAGTTGATCTTGAAAGTTATTCAGTTTAGATAAGATGATACTGTATAAGATATGGAAATACATCAGAAAGTAGGGAAGGATAACAGATCTAGGAGAAAAGTGCACTGACGGGTAAGCAAGGAGTAAGAGATAAAGGAAGAAAAATAGGAAGGGAAGCTTGGACATGCTCTTGATATTGGCACCTGCATTGTATTTCCAGTAAGAAGTATGTGCTGTGGTCTGAAGATAAGCAATGCTTCCAGCAGGGTTGGTTAGTCATACTGAAGAACAATAGCTTTTTACTGTACATGGATTATTAATAATCAGAGGGAAACAGCTTTAGGAAAATCCATTACTACTGCAAAGCAATAAATTCACCAACAGACAACACATTTCTTTTCCCTCCTCTACAGATAAAGTTTAGCATAGATAAAAGAGGCCTCACTGTTCCTCCTTTATTTCCTATTTCAGGTTACATTTTGCCTTTGTTAATTCCCAATGCTAAGTAATTTACGTGGATAATTATGAACAGTCCTTACAGCAACTCTTTGAAGAAGGTTCTGTTGTTACCCCATTTTAAGAAATTGAGGCTCTGGAAGATTAATATCTTGCCTGATGTGGTGAAGTCAGTAATCAAACTCCAATTAGTTCATTATTTGTATTATATCTTTCTTCTTTACATGTGTGGAGAATTTTTGAATGCCTGAAATCAAGGTAGTCATTCTCTATTCTGCTATCCTGGGCAAGAAAACCTGATTGCTTTGACATTATAAGAATACTTCAATTCCCTGCAAGTTTTCCAGATGACTAAAGCTTTAAATTATAATTTGGGGAGTTGGTTTTGAACCCTGATCATTTGCATGCCATGGACCTTATTCCCCCAAAGGATTGTTTTTATGAAAAAAAAGTACCAGAACCTCATTTTTCTATGTGTTTGTTTCTGTCAACTACAAATACATTCACAACCTGAAAGTAGAATGTTTTACTTGGAAATGTTAGGACTCTAAGCCCG